CAAAATGTGTCTATTAGTTTGGGACCRTGACTTGGCTAAAAGAAAAACGTCTCCATTGCTTCTTTGCACAGCCTTATGCCTCACAAGTATTTCCTGTGATAAATGATTTTCTCTTTAATTATATTTCCCGTGCAACACTTTCCTTTTGGAGTGATTAATTTTGTAGTATTTTACCCTGATATTATTAATATGCTTTCACAGTTTAACATGATTGTCTGTAATATATGCGAGGCCAGCTTGTAGCTTGAACAGAGCTGGCAGGAGAGAGAGACTGAAAGTGCAGACAGATGCAGACTGGGCAGGGCAGGGTGAGGTTGGGTCTCGGAGGCAGCCAGAGAGCTCCAGTTCTCTGAGGAAATACAGAGATGCTTGGAAGAGAAAGCAGCGCTCCAAGTGAAATACTAACACGTCCAGACGCTGAGAGCTTCCAACCGACAGGACTGCAAAATGGGTCACTTACATAATTGCTGCTTAATATCAGATATACAAACAAGTGGCCCTTTTGTGCTTTCTTATTCTGCTTTATTCTGAGGGGGAAAATAGCAGGTTGTTCCAGAAATTACAGTGTGCAACATTTGCAATAAAATATCCTGGGAAAAATATACAAAMTAAGAGTTAAAATGTCTACCTTATCTCTGAGGGAAAAAAAAAGGCAAACAGAGCCAGCCACCACCATGGTGTGCAAATGTACTCCAGCAGTTAAACGTGGGCAAATGGCCTCCCTAGGTACGTCCTCAAAAGATCCTTCTGAGCTTGAAATCCATACAGACTTACCATTGCAAGGTGTTCGTTATTCCTAAGGGGCTGCCATTATCGTAATAAACTATTACAGAAATGCAACCAGATCTTTAATGTTCATGCAGCATAGGTGGGAGCCTAATTTAGCAAGAAATTATTATAATATAAGCATAATGCTTATGGATCTGAGGGGTTCTGCATGAACCTGTCTACATATGACACAAGACGAATGCTGAGCATTAGCTTTTAAGCTGTAACAAAGCCAGGTAGTGTTGGGAACACCTGCAATGCCAACAACCACCCTTGGGGTAGGAAGYGGAGCAAAGGAGCCCTTCTGGTGTTTGTGTCGACTGTTGTGGGCACATGAGCTCTGCAGCTGCCTCTGGCCACTGCTTGCTGAGGGATTTCCAGATGCGTGTTGACTGTATTTCAGCAGTAACTCAGAAGCAATGTTTACAACAAAAATCTGTGCAACTGCCCTTTTTTCCCCCTCTATTTCTTCTTTCTATCCACTAAAGCTATTCACAACATAGGGACAGATTGTAGGGCATTATATTGTTGCCTTATTGCTGCCTTTGGTGTTGACCTTTCTCGAGGCCAAGAAGCCCAGCTACTTTTGAGGTTTTGGTTTTGCATGTGAAATAAAACTATCATTATATAAACTCTGTGCCCCATGTAACAAAACAGAGCATCTCCAGAAAAAATGTCAAATCTGTAAATAACAACTCTGTCTTTAAAGGTTTTGCAAATATATGAGTCTTTTTTTTAATCTATCACATTACTGGCACATGCAGAATGTGGATGGTCATATTTATTATGCATTTGCTCTGTTTTCTCCAACTGTTTAAATTGTTTTGTCACTTCTTTGGCCTTTGTCACGTGTTAYGGCTCTTATTGTTTGCTTCCAACTTTATAGCCTAACAAAAGAGGAGAATACTCTTGCAGAGAGCCAGCRCAGATGGTTCAGATGCAGGGCTCGGCACATGGCTTCAAGACATGTTCAAAGGGCCGAGAGGAGGAAATGTCACTCTCACGCTCTCGAGCATTTGCTCGGCCTCTCCTTGAAGGCTTCCTCCTCCTCCATCTGGCCTTGTGCAGTGCAGGGCTGCGAGCCCTGCCTTGCCTTTCCTCTCCTTGCACTCGCTGCCAGCTCCTTCGCGCCAGGACRACGTCCATCCCAACCTTTGCAAGGACTTGCAAATGGGTCTGGTGAGAAGCAGCCTGTTAACTGCAGGCTGGGGGTGCATCTTGMTGTGGGGTTTCCTCCCGAGTGCTTGTGGATAATGTTAGTGGATTTGGCCTTCTGGCAGACAAAGCTGACTAGACATTCAGGTGCTGCTTTTTTAAAAACATAGAACAAATTCCGTGTGAGMCTGTAAGGAGAAGGGTTTTGCACAGGGCACAAGTATTTCATCAAAAAACATGTGTGTTTTATGATGTGGATTTGGAAAGAAAACTCACATTCCTTAATTGAGAATCACGGAATTTCTACTGCTTTGTTACTGGAAAATTGTTTTGTGAAATAAGCCACTTTTCTGTGGAATAGGAGTGGGGGAAGTGAGAGGGAGTCTGTGGATATGTTGTATTTTTCCAGTTCTGAACAATAGAGCCTTTTAGCTTAAAGGCTTTTATTGAGGGCAGGGCAGGTGTGAGTGATTCTGCTCCCGGTAGAAGGGAGCTAGCCCTACTCTTCCACAACCACTCAGTGGCACCGTCTTTGCCTGTAAACTCTTAGGAGAAAATTTGTTAGGAAAGACAAATATAGCAAAATCCAGTAGTGCATAATCCTATAATGCCTCAGAACTTACATAGGAGAACAAAATTCTGTTTTTTCCTGCCTATGTGTTGCTCAAATGCTGTTGTTGCTACAGGTGCTGGAGTAGGTGAGTTATATGACTGTATGTGCATGTTAATGCGAAGCTATATGTGACGTGTGACTGTTGTTCTGCCTGCTGAGTGCTCTTTACCTTACGTTTCTTGAAGCCAGCACTTTACAACACAGTGTCCTGTGAGAACCTCATTTTAAAACTGCTCCTACTGCACTCGCTTTTGTTTCTGTCCGTGTGCATAGCAGGTGGTTTCTCACTTATTGCCCTTGTTTCAGGTCAGGGCCGTGCTCTGAGCAGAGTCCCCCCGGTGAGCTGGGGTAGGTCAGTGCTCAGGCCAACACGAGCRGTGTGAGACACTGCTTTGAGGTCCCCAAGCTTTGGCTGATACCTAGCTTCCATAACAGGCAACCACAACCTGAAGGAACCCTCTTAACGACTAATTATATTAATCATTAATGATGTTCACAGTTGCATTTCATGCAAAGTGAAGCCCATATCATATATAAATCCCATCTGAAGGGCTGACAGATTTGAGCAGTTATGAGCCTTCTGCCTCCAGAGCATATTCAACGCTGCAAGTAGCCAGAAGCCAAAGGAGGCAGTTCATATGCAGCAATAAATCAGCCAGCAATGATTCAGTCAAGAGTGTTTCGAGAAGATAAAATGAGATAAAATATATAGTTTTGTTAAATGGCATCACACAAGGATCCACTGTCCGTAAATCTCACAGGTTTGCAGCCAGTACTTCAAGACCTGCGGCCTGCTGTTTCCTGGCCCTTGGGCAGCAAACTCTGTTCTTCTAGAGGGTCATAATAATAATATGATACTATATGTTTTTTAATATAAAGCATATGTTCAGAGAGATGTATGTAAAACTGTTGTATATGTCCAGAAACCATTAAACCAGAACTTCTCCCAGGGCTTATGATGGCCCAAGAGTGGGTCAGAAATGCAAACTTCTAGCCACTTTCCCCTTAAATAAAGTTAGAGGGAAAAAAAGATATTTTTTTTCCCTCTTTTTCTCTTAACAATGTAAATGCTTCCATGAATTTCTGATGAAATCTGCTTAAGCGGTGGATAGTTCTAACTTAGCAGGGGACAAATTGGGAATAGCACAGCCATTAATCACAAAGCAAGAGCCCTGGGCATGGAGACAAAGTGCAGCGTCTGCCAAAGAGTTTTCTGCAGATTACTTGATAATGATATTAAGATTGATCACGCAGTACTTTAAGGTGACGTGAGCTGACCTACTTTTAAAGGGGGTTAATGTGTAATTTCACTGTAGCAAATAGAGATATTGGCCTGTGTAATGTAATTTGCTAATGGGATTCAAAATGTCCACAATCCTGCCTCTCTTTGGGGAAGAAAGTGTCATCTATTCACTTTGTCAGTCCTCTCCTCTTTTTTCTATGGAGAAGAGTCATTTTTTGCAGGGGCCAGTTGTCAGATGTTATTGTACATGGAAGAAGTATCTGTTGTATGGGAAAATTTGATGACCCATAGCACTATGGGGCATAGTGTGAAATAGTGTGTGAGCCTCCTCTCCCTGGGCTGTGCCTTCCCTCCCTACATCTAAGTAGGCAAGCGAGGCAGAGGTGAAAATAGTAGCAGCAACATGAAGGCAGAGGGAGCGTCTCTGAGGCCACCCTATGTTTAGTCTTGTCTCTTCTTTAAGGGCATATGGGGCATCAAAGAGGAGGGCTGGGAAAGGCTGGCTCCCTAGGGAGCAGGGGAGGCCCAGGTGGAGCTCGGTCTACATAGGGAATTAAACCAGTAGATCCGTGGGGGCAGTACTGTAGGACCGTGAGTCCTAACAGAATTTTGGAGCTGCTGCTGGGTGGTCTCCTGGCGCCCGTGCTTGAGCATGAGGCCCTTTTAAGCCTTTACGTGCATGAAAGTGCTTAACGGAGCAGTCGAGCAGAAGCAGGATGAATATTTGAAATGCGGGCTCATCCTCTCCTTGAAGAATGGCTTGATTGCTCTGTCACCAGCACAGCCCTGACTTGAATTCCCAGAAATGGATGCTACGCTAAGCTGTAGCTGACCTAGATTCGTTGGACTTATTTATGCTTGTCTACAGCTAAAAAAGAACTGACAGTTGTAATTTTTTAAAAATTCTTTTCTTTCTACTAAAGGTTTAGATGACAGTTTGTTTTTACAAATACTGTATTAATCTGGGATGGTTTAATTTTTAACCCAATGTAATCATATTTTTTTTTGTACGCACAAGGTTTTAAGTATAAAATACATTTGACTGGTTCTCCGGAAGGCAGGTGTGAACCAGCTGCTGAACCAAGCCCTGGCTGTCTTTTGGAAGTCAGGATAGGGTCAGGACACCTATAACTTAAGGTGTTCATTGGGATGTAGCTCTTCAGATTTGATCCTATGCTCAGATTTGGTTATGTCATCTATAGGACATTCCGCAAGAGGACATTCCTCCGCGCTGTTCTGGAGACCCCGAGTCCCTGGATCGTGGTGAAAGCTGCGTGCTCTAGGCCGGGAACATAAAAGGTACAGTTCTTCTCGTTACATGGCTGCCTTTGCTTTGGACCTGGGACAGCATAATTTTGCTGCACAGTATTACTTATTTAAATGAGAAGCCTAACTCTAAAGAGTTGGTGATAATTTCTGAGGCCCATAAGGAGCCTGGCCAGATTTCGGTTGGTGCCTGAAGGGAGGCCTGCGCTGGCTTCCTAGGCCCCATCAGGCCGTCGTGTAGAGACCCCCACGGACTCGTTCGTTGTCTTGGCACTTGGCATTTTTGTGCTGGTGCTTGTGCACTGGGTGGCCTCTGGCAGCACACGGTGCCTCATAGCTTCCCGAGAGGCAGCGGCTCTGCAAGGACCTCRGAGCGCTCCTGCCCAGCGCCCAGCTCCCCCAGACTGACCCTCCTGCTGGAGCTCTCCACACAGAAGTCAAAAGCCAATTGCATGGCTTGCAGAGGAAAGAGGGTACCCTGGCTGGAAGCTGGTCATAGGCTCCCCCCTGCAGCCCCGCGGCCTGCCTTGCCGCAGGGCTGGGATCTGCGCCATTCCTGGCTTGCTTTGCCATGGGGCCGGGATCCGCGTGGTTCCCGGCTTACCTTGCCGCACGTTCCTCCCTTGGTGTGCAGCCCCGGGCGCAGAGGCAGCGGGCAGCTCTGCCAGGCGCCGCAGTGTGCAAGGGCACCGGGGACACCGCYGAGGCGGCCGTCAGCGTCACCCGTCGTGCTCATCATGATGAAGATGGTTTATTTGTGATGAGAAAAATTCTTGGCGCCAGATCGCAGCCTCGCTCAGGGTACAAATGTGCCTTCTTCTGACTCGAGGAGCTCATTAATGGGGTTTATGGCCTGTGCGTGGCTCTAGCTTCATATATGAGGGTGGCACCTGATTTTGACTACCATAGAAATGCAGAGCTCTGTAATACTCATCTGTCTGGGAGCAAACATTTCAAGAGGGCAAACTATTATTTATGTATATATCTAAAGACAGGATTAAATAGACTCATAGAAGATAGACATTCCAAGCTCCAGGCTATTTCTTTTTTTTACCTTACTTTATATTAAACAAGGTGCTAAGGCTTATAGCTATACACACACACACATATATATATAAAAAAAATACGTAAAGAATAAATCTATATTCTTGACATAGCCTGTGTTATGCCCAGTTGGTGGCATGAGCTTGTATTTTCATCAGTYGTTTCAGGAATGGCTAAAAACAATTTGAATCTGGTCTTAAAGCACAGCAAATGTAAAATTTAAAAATAATCCCTTTTAGATGAGCCAACATATAGCCTAATGCAGTCTGATTTGGATCAAAAATGAGAAGCCCTACAAGCACTGTTCCGTTTGTCCATTTGCCCTTATGTTGCTGCCTGGTTGCATTTAAGCTTCTCATTTTGCCGCCGTGCCTTGGCATAAACAAGGGCTGCCGTGCAATATGTGAGTGTCCGGCCGTGCCTTGTCTTAGCTTGGTAGATGCGGCTCCACGTTGCTCACGTGGCGCCTGGGGGCTGGGTAACGAATGAGAAAAACCATATTCTGGAGCCATCTGTGCGAGCGTGGAGCGGCCCGCGGCGCTAYGGGGGCCACGCAGGCTCCTGTGGCCTCGTGCCCAGGGCTGCCCTGTGGGGCGGCGTTCCCAGCCGTGGCCTGCCGTGGGGCAGCAGCTCTCCCAACGCAGGGCTCAGGGCAGAGGAGGCCGCGTGCTCTGCGCCGCTCGCTCGCCTGCACACTCGCAGCCGTGCAGGCGCCGCTCGCGCGCCTTGCTGCCACTGCCATCTGGTGGCTCTGCGCTTGGGCTTGGGCAGCTGMTCTCCGAGGGGTTTCAATAAAGACRTTAGAGGCCTGTGTATTTATACGCCAAGGTTTCAGTATGGCTTTCTGCACCCTGGTCTGACCTTTGGGGATAATTTGTTTGCACCATACTGTAAGCTCCAGTCTGAAGTGCACTACAGCTAGTATAAGTAATGAGCAGGTCTGTACACAGAGAATAGCCCATGTGCTGCCTGTCTGTTCCTATCCTGTCTGTGCTAGACAGACGTTTCTAACCATTGTAACTTGCACAGGAGCTTGTTGGAGCCGGGCAGCACCAGGTGCTGCAGCCTGTTTCCCCTGTGCCTTCCCTGGGTAAATGGGGAGGGGAAATGGGGTCACCTGTTCAGTGAATTTTGTCAGCTCTTGTTGGAGAGACCATTGTGACACATTTTAAAATGCTAACCTAGTGTGTATATATATATATATATATATATTTTAATGTTCTAGACCTCTGCTGGTTTCTTCACCGCTCAAGGATGCGGTAAGTAGAAAACACCCTGCTGGTGGTGTGCTTAACTCCTGATATATGTTGTTAATTTGCTGGGGGCAAATACCATTGTAGGAAGGGAAGGTCTGTGTGTGATGCGTGGGCTCTGCTCTCCGAGGGCAGCTCAACTTTTTGCTGCTCTCAGCCCCAGGAGCACCCAGTTGGTTGGGCGCACAGGAGCGCTGCAGAGCCGGCTGAGCCGAGCCCCTGCCACAGAGTGCAGGGAGGGACAACCCAAACTGACCTGTGAGGGGCACCAGCAGCAGCCCCGTGCTTGCATCAGCAAAATCCTTCAGGCAAGTAATTTCCAAGGGGAAATAAAGACTGGCTTTAGGAAAAATCCATCTCGTTCCAGACACCCCATTAGCTAGAACAGGGCTAAACTAGGAATAAGAGTGTGGCTTAACACCTTATATGGTACATGGTATGGGGTTTGATGTACATAATCATAATAATTGAACAGACACTCATGCAACAAGTATAGTAAAGATGTCTTTATTCCAAAATAATAATGTGTTAGCTGGACATCTACAAAACATCTACACGAGACTTTGGTAAGAAATATTCATGGTAGCTTTTTTCATACTTCCACAGCAAATAAAAACAATGAAGGAAATCTAAAAATGCAATCAATATTTTGTTTTAAAGTGTACGCTGCAAAAACAGACTCCTACTGTACATCTGTTAGGCCCATAGCTTTTTTATTATGTGTGGAGTCTCTACAGTTTGTATGTTAGAAAAAAAATAACATACCCATAATGCTAAGATCTGGTATTTGAGGTCTACAAAATTGGAGTGCTACCTGTGCTTTCAGCTCAGCAGTACTATGTATGAGCTAATAGAGATAACAGTTCTCATTTTTATTGACTCATCGCCAGTGGTTATTACACTAGAAAGTTTAAAGCAACAGTGCAATACTTCTACATATTGTGTATCAGAGCTTTTTTTTTTTTTCTGAATAGAAAATCAACCTCTCTTTTCTTCATTTGTTTTTGTTTTTTACAAAATGTAACAAGCTTAAATATTTCTTTTTGTATCAAGTTGGAAGAAAGATAACAGATGACTTAAAATGATTCAACAGAAAACAGTGTAAGAAGCTGAACCCAAGCAGGTTCGAGCACACATTTTTTTGAACAAGTGCAGTCTACTTTGTATCAACAAGGTGGAAAAATAAAACATAACACCAACATTCATTCAGCTTTAATGAGCCAAAGAGAAATGTCTGGAAATCACACTGAACAGCCTCCTACTGAAGAGGAAATGAAGTACAGGAGCATCAACTGGTAAGACTCGGAAAGAAAAGAATACTAGATTTCTAATGGAGGTGTTTGTGGGCATGTTCAAAAAAATGTTATGTATTTCATCCATACCTAAAGTACTTATTTGGACTATGCAGACTTTGGCAAAGGGAATAAATAAAAAGACAAAAAAAGTTGATGAACTGAACACACATGAAAAAAACAGAGCCTCCTTAGTATTATAGTTGATTATGTAGAGAAGCAGGCATGCTGTGACGGTATTAGTGCAAGCAGTATGGCTTGAGGAGATAGAATACAGTCCCTAAAGACAGAATTTATTTTTCCCTCCCTCAAGGTACACTCGCTGCTTCCACTCCCTCTGCCCGCTCTGAGCCATCCCGTGGGTGGCAGATCTGCAGCCTCAGGGTTTATTTCACGACAATGGACCCAGGGCCCTTGAAGTGTGTGCATAGCCCGGCCCTGCTCTCTGGAGCTGCCTCTTCAGCCAAGTCGGGCACCTCACCCCCAGCCTCAGCACCTCCAGCAGCTGCAGTATTCCAACAGTCTGGCTTGGATGSGTCCACAAAATAGAACGTGCAAGGTAAGCTCATGAACATATTGGTTAAGGACAGTCTAGTGGGTAGACTATACGCAGTACAGTACCCACTGTACTACTGGGTACACACACGCACGCACGCACAGAGGGCAATCTAAGTCTAGTAAGTGCACTGTAGTGTGAGTGCTACACACACACACACACACACACACACACACACACACACATGCACTCACACACACTCCCACAGAGGACAGTGTAGTGTGTACATTGATGTCAGTGCTATAGGCACACACACACACACAGAGGACAATCTAAGTATAGCTGGTGCACTACGATGTCAGTACTACACACACCCACCCACCTAGGGGAGTCTAGCAAGTGCCCTGTAGTGTCAGTGCTACACCCACACACAGAATCTAGGGGGTTCAGTGTAGTTTCAGTACTACACACACACACACACACACACACACACACACACACACACACACACACACACACACTCACACAGAGGACAGTCTAGTGTGTGCACTCATGTCAGTGCTACAGACATACACACACACACACACAGATGACACTCTATGGGTGCACTGTAATGTGAGTGCTAAACACAAACATACATAGGTGAGTCTAGTGAGTGCCCTGTGGTGTTAGTGGTAAACACACACACAAAACCACTCGCTCAGACACAGAGAGAAGAGTATGTCTTGTTGTTGCACTGTGATGTCAGTGCTACACACAGACTCACGCACACACACAAACAGGCGACAGTGTAGTGTGTGCACTGATCTCAGTGCTGCAGACACACGCGTGCACACACGGACGCACAGAAGACAGTCTAGGGGTGCGTTGCAATGTCAGTGACACACACACACACACACACACACACACACACACACACAGCAGGCTAGGGCTACACTGTAGTGTCAGTGCTACACACATACACAGAGGGCAGTGTAAGTCTAGGGAGTGCCCTGTAGTGGCAGTGCTACACACACACACACGACAGTCTAGGGGTGCACTGCCTGTAATGGCAGTGCTACACACACACACAAACATATCCAGGAGAGTCTAGTGAGTGCCCTGTAGTGTCAGTGGTAAACACACACACACGACAGTCTAAGTCTAGATGCTGTACTGCAGTGTCAGTGCTACACACACACATGCACTCACACATACACTCACACAGAGGACAGTGTCGTGTGTGCTATAGACACACGCGCACACATATAGAGGACAATGTAAGTATAGCTGGTGCACTACAGTATCAGTGCTACACACACAAACACACATACTGCCAAGGAGAGTCTAGCAAGCGCCCTGTAGTGTCAGTACTAAACAYACACAGTCACGCACTCARACATACAGAGTCTAAGTCTTGTTGGTGCACTGTGCTATCAGTGCTACACACACACTCATGCACTCACACACAGAGGAGAGTGTAGTGAGTGCACAGATCTCAGTGCTACATACATGTGCTAACACACAAACACACGCGTTCACATGGACACACACACACACACACGCATGCTCACACACAGAGGACAGTCTAGGGGTTCAATGTAGTCAGTGCTACACACGCACACAAACACACTCAAGAGGACAGTGTGTGCACTCATGTCCTAAAGACAAACACGTGCACACACACAGAGGACAGTCTAGGGGTGCACTGTTATGTCAGTGCTACACACACACATACAGACACATACATACACACACCCGGGGCAGTCTACGGGTTTACTGTAATSTCAGTGTTACACACACACACGAGAGTATACAGAGTGTACTGTACTGTCAGTACTACACACACTGACACACACAGAGGGTAGCCTAGAGGGTGCCAAGACTTAGACTCTGTATGTCTGAGTGCRTGACTGTGTGTGTTTAGCACTGACACTACAGGGCACTTGCTAGACTCTCCTTGGCAGTATGTGTGTTTGTGTGTGTAGCACTGATACTGTAGTGCACCAACTAAGCCTAGAGGGTGCACTGTGATGTCAGTGCCACACAAACACACAGAGCAGTCTAGGGCTACACTGTAGAGTCAGCGCTACACACACAGAGGGCAGTCTGAGTCTAGTGAGTGCCCTGTAGTGTTATTGCTACACACACACACAGAGAGGACAGTCTAGGGGTTGTGTAGTTTCAGTGTTATACACACACATACACTCACACAGAGGACAGCCTAGTGTGTGCACTCATGTCAGTGCTACAGACACACACACACAACAGTCTAGGGGTGCACTGTAATGTCAGTGCTACACACAAACATACACAGGCGAGTCTAGTGAGTGCCCTGTGGTGTTAATAGTACACACACACACACACACACAGAGCAGTCTAGGGCTACGCTGCAGGGTCAGTGTTACACACACACATAGAAGGCAGTCTTAAGTCTAGGGAGTGCCTTGTTGTGTCAGTTACACACACACACACACACACACACACACACACACACACACAAAATCACTCAGACACACAGAGAAGAGTCTAAGTCTTGTTGGTGTACTGTGATGTCAGTGCTGCACACATATACACACACACACACAGAGGACAGTCTAGGAGTGCATTGTGATGTCAGTGCTACACACACGGATATCCAGTTACTGCCCGATAGTGTCAGTGCTACACACACACAGATGCACAGGACAGTCGAAGTCTTGTTGGTGCACTGTGATATCAGTGCTACACACACACACACACACACACGCACACTCTGACAGAGGACAGTCTAGGGGCGCATTATAATGTCAGTGCTACACACACACAGGAACATCATGTTAGTGCCCTGTAGTGACAGTGCTGCACACACACACACACACAGAGCAGTGCCCTATAGTGTCAGTGCTGCACATACACACAAAACACACAGGACAGTCTTGTGTGTGCACTTATGTCAGTGCTACAGACACACACACACACACAGAGGACAGTCTAGGTGTACCCTGTAATTTCAGTGGTACACACACACACACACATAGAGACACATACATACACCCAGGGCAGTCTAAGTCTAGAGGGTGCACTGTGATGTGAGTGCTACAGACACAATCATGCACACGCACACAGAGGACAGTCTAGGGGGTGCACTGTAATTTCAGTGCTACACACCCAGGAAAGTCTACTGAGTGCCCTGTAGAGTCAGTGCTGAACACACAGACACACACACAGAGGACAGTCTAAGTTTACCTGGTGCCCTGTAGTGTCAGTGCWATACAGATACACACACGCACACACAAGACAGTCTAAGACTAGTTGGTGCACTGTAATGTTAGTGCTTTTCACACACTCTCACACCCACAGGACAGTCTACCCTGTGCCCTCTAGGGTCTGTGCTACACACACTCAAGAGAGGACAGTCTAGTTGGGTGCACTGTGATGTCATTACAACACATGTGTGCACACGCACACAGACACACACACACACACACACACTGAAGAGAGTGTAATTTATGCACTGATGACAGTGCTACAAAAACACGTACACACACAGACGGCAGTCTAGAGGTGCAGTGTGATGTCAGTGCTACACACACACTGTAGTGTCCAGTTATTGCCCTGTAGTGTCAGTGYTATACATACACACACGCCCTCACACCCAACCCCTCATACACACAGAGGACAGTCTAGGGCTGCAATGTTATGCCAGTGCTAAACACACACAAATGCACACATCAGTCTAAGTGTAGTGAGTGCCCTATAGTGTCAATCCTACACATACACACACAACACACAGGACAGTCTGGTGTGTGCACTGACACACTACAGGCAGACAGACACACACACCGAGGGCAGTCTAGTGAGTGCACTGTAGTGTCAGTGCTACACACAAACACACTCAGGACAGTCTAGTGTGTGCTCTCGTGCTACAGACACACGTGCACACACCAAATGTATAGGACAGTCTAGGAGTGTCTACACAATAGTCTACACACGAGAGTCTAGTGAGTGCCCTCTAGTGTCAGTGCTAAACACATACGTACACACACGAGAGTGTAGTGTGTGTACTGATGCCAGTGCTACACACACTACATSCACACACAGTGTGTGTCTAGGGATGCATTGCAATGTCAGTGCTACACACATACACACACACACTCACTCACACACAGAAGGCAGTCTACGTCTAGTGAGTGCCCTATAGTGTTARTACTACACATACACACAGGACAGTCTCGTGTGTGCACTGATCTCAGCGCTACACAGATACACACAGACACGCCCGCTCACACACAGAGGACAGTCTGAGGGGGGGGGGGGTTCAATGTAGTGTCAGAGCTACACACAAGCACACTCAGAGGACAGTCTAGTGCGTGCACTCGTGTCCTAAAGACAAACGCGTGCACACACACAGAGGACAGTCTAGGGGTGCACTGTTATGTCAGTGCTACACACACACATACAGACACATACATACACACACCCAGGGCAGTCTACGGGTTTACTGTAATGTCAGTGTTACACACACACACGAGAGTATACAGAGTGTACTGTACTGTCAGTACTACACACACTGACACACACAGAGGGTAGTCTAAGCCTAGAGGGTGCACTGTGATGTCAGTGCCACACAAACACACAGAGCAGTCTAGGGCTACACTGTAGAGTCAGCACTACACACACAGAGGGCAGTCTGAGTCTAGTGAGTTCCCTGTAGTGTCATTGCTACACACACACACACACACACACACACACACACACACACACACACACACACACACACACACACACACACACACACAGGACAGGCTAGTGCGTGCACTCAGTGCTACAGACACACACGCGTGTGCACACAGAGCGCAGTCTAAGTTTAGTGGGTGCACTGTGATGTCAGTGGTGCACACACAGAGTACAGTGTAGTATGTGCACTGATGTCAGTGCTTACAGACACACACACACACACACACACACACACACACACACACACACACAGCAGGCAGTCTCAGTCTAGTGAGCGCACCGCAATGTCAGTGCTACACACACAGAGGAGAGTCTAGTGAGTGCCCTGTTGTGTCAGTGCTCTGCTCTACACACACACACAGCAGACAGTCTAGGGCTGCACTCTAATATTAGTGCTATACACACGATAGTGTACTAGACTGCACTGTAATGTCAGTACTACACACAGCCACACCTGACTGCGGAGTTTCTGAGCATGTACAAGGAGGCACTCTAGCCTATTACTAATATTAATGTGAGCCAGGCTGTGCAAAATGCAATGTGTTTGGTTTTAACATTAGTCCTTTCCTTTTATTTTTTTTTTTAMCCCCCCTCCCCCGTCCTGGTTTGSTTCAGTCTGGGTTTGCACCCATTTCCCATAGCAGCACKGGGGGGTGCTGAGCACTGCACTTCATTTCACCAGGCTCCTCTCAGGGTGGGTCTAATAAAGGCTGTTCAGTTCTTCACAYGGGGTTGGGATGTGCCAGCCATGGGAGTCCTGAGTCCCGAGCCCACCTTGGTGCATCCAGCGAGGCTGCCCAGGGCGCAGCACAGCCCGTGCTGCCACACGCTGCAGGGACGGAGTGGGAAGAGTCRAGGTGGCTTGGGGCTCAAATGGAGTGTGTGGGGGGGGGGAATGCTGAAAACCTGGCTGCCCACGTATGAGGACTGCCATCACATGTGGATTAGTTAAGGCTGCTCTAAAGAGACTACAAAATACTTTTTCATTCATTTTCCTCAAGCTTGTTTTACGTGTGCTCAGCAATAGCCATTGTTCTCAATGCATTGTTATCTATGTGGAGTCAGGGGTGAATGCTGCCTTACCTGCACAGAGAGCTAATGCTCCGCCTTATCAGCCATCTTAGATGGTCACCGGTTAAACTGACGCGACAGCTTAATAGCTCAGTAGCAAGTGAGGCCCAAGCTCTCTAGTCTTTTACCTGCTCACCAGTTCAGCTGAGAACTGAATTCTGCAGAGGCAGGTCTAAAATAGCAGAAGCAGCTGAAACTGTTCAGAAGCCATTTGCTGCTCTTAGGCAGGGTGGTAGGAGCCAGTCTGTTCAGGGCACACATTTAACCTGGCTACTGTAGCTGCAGATTACAGCCCTGCAATTGTCATAAATTTAGTAAGTTTTGATTCCCCCCCCCCAAACTCCCAAGTAGAAAGGCAAACGTACCATCCACTGCTGTAAATAGCTTTCTGTGGCAGCCTGTAATTCGTATTTTAAGAAGTGTTTGTCCTGGTTTCTCTTCAGCAATTCCCTGCCCTTTGCTGGTAGGGATATATGAAAACTTGGCTCATCTGTCTGTATTATTTTTTAATGCGCTTGCCTTACCTTCTTGTTCCAGTAGGGCTTTCCATGACACGATTATTGAGGCTGACTGCATTTGGACCAATTTCAGTAGTTCTAGATCCCTTCTGAGAGGCCATGGATGGASCCAATAGAAGAGTATGGCATTTAAATACATGATGGTATTCACATGTTTTCTTTGTGTGCTATTTTGACTATGTACAGTGGGCAGAAATAATTTCTACGCTGCACAGATTATTTCCTATTTAATTTTTAAAAAAACAAAGGTTATTTTGCAAGGTACCATAACATCTATTGGAAGAAAAGAATATAGGGTAGTTATAGCATCAGTTCAAGCCAATAGTGTGAAAAATATAAATATGCACCTTTAAATTACTGAAATTATTCCTTGGCATAGTTACATACTCACATAGGCACTGCTTTGGATTTTGAAATCAGCTCGAGAGCAATCCTTCCACATATGGAACATGTCACTTYAACCTAGTTATGTTAATATGCATGCATCCCATCTCTTTACAAGTAGTCTTTGTATATGGCTGTTCCATGGCCACAGATACATTTGTATTTCAGTTAAATGATTCACAATGACTTACCAGTTTTATGCATTAAGGGCCAGCTGGAGTATCAAAGATTTACTCTCAGCATAAATCTGTGAGGAAATATTTATAAAATACATTTCTTGCTCCGGCAAGACTAAAAAGCAAACCACACTGCAAAAATGAAAACTAATATACACTTTATATATGTTTGTTTTAAAAAAACCAAACCAAGGTTGACTTTCCATTTAGCTCACAGCGCATCACTCGGCTGCTCTGCTAACAGGGGTGAACGTTACATGCCCTTAGCTCCTTTTTGTCTTTGCAGCTGGTGAACTGAGTGGTTTTGGCCCTCCTCTTCACGATCATGTAGCGCTCCTGAATGCCGCCGCCACACAGCGCCGAGCACTCTGTCCAAGCAGTCCACGGCTTCAGTCTGCAAACTGAACAAAACACCRTTTGCTTCAGAGTTCCCAATCTGCTAGGCTAACCTGCACATGTTGGTAGGGAGCCCCTAGATAGGTACTGAGTACGAGTTATTGGCTAGCCTATAGTTTAACTGCTACTGTAATAGAGACCTGCTATTAYAATCAAGTATAATCACAGCACATTTGACAAATAGTGAAAAAATACACTGAAAGAACAATTTACATTATAATCTAATATTATAATGTAATTATAATTACACTATAAAGCAGATAAAAATTAATGAACTGTTAAAGGTAGGACAAACATGCACCATAAATTAACAGTAATTCACATCTGAATAATGTGAGCTGTATCATAAAATACTGAAGTTTGGCGATTTGAGGCAACAGGTTTTGATACTACTGTGCCTTGTGGACAAAAAGAGTTTGAGCAGAGCTGACTGAAATTACTGTGATGGGAATTTGCTCTGTTCGGAGGTTCCCTACTGGACTTAGGAGTAAATACTTTTAAATAAAACTAATAAAAGCCTTTCCATATCAGGCGTGGAGCTTCTGTGTCACTTCTTTGATGACAGCTGAACACTGCAAGCAGTTGTACTTTACTGCTAAAATGTACCTTCCCCCCCCCCCGCCCCGCCGACTGTGCTGCCACCAGGCGCTATCATGGTGTGAGCTGGAGCTGCTCAGAGAGCCCTTTCTGCTACGCAGGACGGCTGTGCGCGCGAGGCGAGGGCGTCGCACTCACCTGGGTACTGCTCACTGTCCGCGTTCTTCTTCGCTTGCTCGCTCCGCCTCTTCTCCCGCGCCTCCTTCCATCGCCGCTTCTCCAGGCCGGGGCCGCGCAGGCATTTCCGTACTCGACACTTGGTGCGCTGGACAGTTTCTGGGCAGGCTGTTCCCCCGAACTGCGGCTCCATTTTGATCATTCTCGTCCTGATCATGTGGCCCTTTCCGCATGACGTGTTGCACTCGGACCACTGGGACCACTCGGTTAGTTCACAGTCAATAGCTGCAAAGGGGGAGAAGGGCACGCGAAAGCAGGAAGCTGCAGAGTTGTTCCGGCTCCCCTGACACCCGATAGCCACCTAAGTCCCTGGGCCTCCCAGCAAAACTTGTGACATTGTCACTGTTTCCCAAGGAGCTGGTCACTAACAGAAATTATGTGCTGGCCGGGCACAAAGCAAACATAAGGGGTGGGCTGGAGTATGTAGAGATCCTGAATAGAACAGGGAGAAAATGAACTGACTCCAAAGGGAATGTAGAAACATTCCCAGAAACAACAGTGCCTGCCTCACATAACAGGAGTACATGGAGTAATAAAAGCTCCTAACAGCCTTAGCCTTCATTTTCCCAGCGCTTCCCACACTTACGGCACTCGGGTAACATGCATTTTTCCACTTGCTCCAGCTCCTCGTTGCAGTCCCCGAGCTCCGCGGCGGACTTCAGCATTCTTTGCCGGGTTCGCATTCCCTTCCCACAGGTTACGCTGCAGTCACTCCACTCCGACCAAGGAGACAGCAAGCAGGGAATCGTATCTAAGATGAAAAGGTCATTTGAAAATAAATTCAGGTAGAAAACTATTTATTGCTTATATAGGATATCATTATATTACTATAACTGCAACTACTAATTACTACAATGTATTACATGATATTTAAACTATATAATGTATATAATAAAAATGAATATACAATATAAAATATAACAATTATAAAATTAATTATATACTTAACATAAATGTATATTTACATTGTAAAATACTCATACACAAATAAAATGCTCAAATATATGTAATTGTACATAAAAGAGAAGAAATAGTTAGAGAAATTATGTTGGAACCATAAATATTTAAGGGACTTTCAGGTCTGTGCACTGAAACTATTGGTCTCTTTAGAAAAGAGCTCTCCTCTCGAGCATTTGATAGTCTACCAAGATTTTAACTAGTGACAGCAAGAACTCTAGTAGGAAATTATATTTTAGTAGATARAATGTGCTAAGTAAATATATGCCACATTTTAGACTTTAAGTGCTGGGGGGAGCGTGGCTGAAAGGTGCACCACCATTTCTAAAAGGTTAGGGGTACCTTTTATGCTAGTTGTGTCATTAAATATAGCTCATATTCCCCCAAATTGTAATGGCTTACACAGGGAATGCTACTATAGGCATCACCGTATGGCTAACACTCTGACAGCACTCAACCCAGAGCTGTTAGTGGTAGCTGTCTTTCCTGGTGCCAGCGCCACTTAGTGTCTCACTGCCCAGTGGCGCGGCGCGGGTGCTTACGGCATTCGGGCATCATGCACTTCTCGGCCTCCGTGGTCTCCGCCTTGCACATGGACCCGTCAGCAGGAGTCATCTTGATCATTCGGTGGCGCCTCTTGGTTCCCAAGCCGCAGCTGGCGCTGCACTCATCCCACTCGCCCCACTCRGTGACGAGGCAGCTGCTGGGGGCTGTAGGGGACGGCAAGGGACACGGGTCACTCGGCGAGCTCGGCTCGGACACACTCTGCGCAGCGCCCCTGCTCCCGACCGGCTTTGACGCAGCTGAGCGCAATACTTACAACACTCCTCATTTACAACACATTTCTCAGTCTCTTCAGTGGGCACTTTGCACATAGAGCCATCTTCGGGGAATTGCTTTACATATCTCTCTCTAGAGCGCGTTCCCATGCCACAGGAAACACTACAGGGGGACCAGGTAATCCAGTCAGACATCATGCAAGTGGAACCATCTAAAATACAGAGGACCGTTTCAATCGCTAATACTCACACAACCACTACCCGCCGCCCTGGCTCCATGTGCATGTGTGCCCAGCTGGGAAGCGCTGGGAATCGCTTCCTTGCCGCCTCTCTCCTCCCCTTGGCTCTAACCTCACTCCTTTTGTTCCTCATGCTGCTGTGGGCTCCCGGCCCAGTGGAGCTGCCAAGGGGCACAGGCAGCGCTCAGCTCCCGTGCGCTGGCCCCAGCATCTGCTCTTGCTGCCCATAACACGAGTCAGGCAGCAGCCGGCACTTCAAGAACTGCTTTAAAGAGAAGGTTTTCCCTCTCCCAAGAGCCATTCATCTCCTCCACCTTTCCCCCCGGTTACCTTCATCGCTGCAGCCTGGGCCCATGCAGGGCTGGAAATCCTGCGTGTCGGGGCAGGGCACGCTGAGGTCCAGCTGCGCCTTAAGCATCCTCTGCCTCATCCTCTTGCCCTTCTCACACGTGGAGGAGCTGCAGGCTGACCAGGGGGACCAGTTGGAATAGATGCAGGTCTCTGGGGTGTCATCTACAAGWAAGAAAAGGCAGTGGGAATTAACTATACGCTGGCCTCCATTTGCTTCTCTATACTGGTGATTATAGAGGTTACTATAGRTAGAGATTACTATATTAAGTTGCTTCCAATCTACTTTTCCATTTAAACCTGAAAGGCGGGAGGGCAAGGGAGGGGAGGAAGAAACAAACAAAACAGAACACACTATCTCCCTTTTTAATCCTAAAACGTTTCTGTTCTATTACTTTTGCTGTTATTGTTAGCTGTAACATACACAAGCAGGAAAAGCTAAAAGCAGGTACCAAAAAGGCAAAAAATTAAATCAACTCTTTGACATCCTGTGGGACTTCTGCTCCTTAGTGAGTTTGGTACTTTATCTAGAAATGGCACAAGGTATAAATCAGCTCAGCACAAATTAGTTTAAAAAGTACCTTCTTCTTTTTCTTCTGGTGCGAGATCTGCCACAATATCATCTATGTTATCAGGAACAATATTGCATTGCTCCCCCTGAAAGAAATGATTGTGGAAGGATTATGGTTATTTATTTAGGGATGTTTATTTATTTAAATAGCCTTTTCTRAGGAGTTATTAGGGATTATTTGCAGTACTACCTTGCGGGCAATTCTCTCAATTACCACTCTGGCCACCAGCTTGATAGAGCCTCCTTCGGGATCATAAAAGGGACTTTGGGGGTGGTCTAGGCTTGTAAGAGGTCTGATCTTCTCTTGAGGAACTGTAGGTTTGTTGGGAGACTGCAATCAGAAAGACAAAGATGGATTAAAAATAAACTGTCAGTGTATCCCAGGGGAATGTAGTGGAATATTATTCCATTAATAAATCTCAAAGTTAGACACTGCTGCCAGTGTCTAAATTAAATGTTATAAACAATATCTTTAATAAAGTAGTATGAAGACATCCATGACGTGGCCATGGATGGAAGAGCATTCATTTTCACAGTTCTAAGGAAAACCTCACGCTTTCAGCGGATGCCTCGCAGCCCACACACCTCGTAGGTGACGCCGCTGTCCGTGCCGGCGTCCCACGGGATTAAGTCCTGCACGACCTTCTGCACCCAGCCGCAGTCCTTGGTGCACAGGTCTTCCGCCGAGAGGCCCACGTTCCAGTCGGGGCTGGGCCCCAGCATGGTGAGGAAGGACATCAGGTGCCGATGCCGGTCCACAGAAAACTCAGCAGAGGGAGCAGCTCTCCTGCAAATTGCAACACGAGCAGCATTAGCAGCGCTCCYGGAGCCTGTTGTTGAGCAGCAGCGAGACCGTGCTTCCCGCTGGGAGACAGGGAACACGGGAACGATGCTGTAAGGGAGGTCACCAGTGGATACCTGCAAGCACATCAGTCCCTCTCGCTGCCTTTTTGGGTCGCTGCACATACACGTGACACACGCACACACTGCTCTGCTCGCAGAGCTCCCGGGACACAAGCAACCCACAACTGCGTAAGGACAGTGTCCCGGAGAAGGGCTCCGGTGGAACCACATGCAACGCTTATAACTCAGAGCGGTGCCTCACTSCCCTGCAAGAGGAAGGCTGCACAAACGGGCACCTCGTAACCATCGCAGTGTCGCGGCCAGCGCTGCTCTGGACCTCGGGCATTGCTTCTTACCGTGTAAATTGGCCTCTACTGAATTAAAAATGTCAAGTAGAAGTGTTTCCCGCWGTTTGCTGACATTAATCCTGCCTTTCCAAGAGAGGCAAATGACTTTCATTATGATAGGTAGAGCTGTTTTGATTTCAGTGGAACAATTTGTCTAACGTAAATGAATAAAATAACGAAGGCATCCATATTTCRCAATACAATATTCTGATGTATTTGTCAAGTGCATGGCAGCCATTACTCTTTAAAAGCCTGCTAGCTGACGGACTTCAACATCTAAAGGGTTTACTACAATATAAGAAGCACACTCTAAGAATTCCCTATAGGAATTTTATATGTAATACTGAGCAATAAACAACTTGTGCAGGGCTGGCAGGACAAAACAACACAGCTATGTTTATTTAGTGCCACATCTTTAAGGCAGGTTCATAACAGGCACGYTGCAGAAGAGAGACCCCGACCGGCTCTTTTGGCCAAGAGGCSAGGGCCGCGCGGCCTGCGCGGGGCCGCTCCTCACGGCTGCCCCTGTCCCTGAGCTGGGCTCAGCCGGTCAGCACGGCTCGCACAGCCTCAGATTTTGCTCTCAGAAAGCCAGRAGGGGCAGACTTCAGCACAGCACTCCAGGGCAGACAGCTAGAAACCACCTAAAGGCTCCTTCAGACCCGTGCTGGTTGGAATCTGTTGTCATTTGCTATTGCTCTGAGAGGCACAGTAGCAATAAGTCTTTGCATGCTTTGTTAGGAATGTAAATATTAATGTTATTAATATAATTCAAAATTAAATATGTACACTGTATGTCTAACTATATCAATATTGAAACTGAGTGAAGGAAGACTTCAGTAGGAGCTCATCTTTGCCTACAAACTTCTGCTGTTCTGCAGCACATGATCTCGCTCAGCCACCCTTTCCATCTCCAGAGCCCTCTGTAAATGTTACCTACTTTCTACTTCTTATTTAAGCAAGGTAGATTCATAGCTTTCTAGTTTTCTAACCATTCGACAGATGACAGGAGAGAGGAAAAGATTAAATCTCACATCCTTCCCACTTCAGCTTCCTCAGGCCAGCCTTGTTCTCCTGCCTGAACCCCCTCCAGGCGCCCGGTGATCCTGAGGGCGCCCGGCCTCCCCGCGCGCAGCCCCACGGGCGGACGAGGCTCGGAGGCGCTCGGGACTCGCGTACGGTTCCGCTGAGCTCCGCGGCCGGCTCGTGTCCCAGCGCGGCTGCAGGGAGGCGCAGCCGGGCGGCCTCACCGTCACCCGCACGCCGGCCTGGCCGCCCCGGCCTCTTCCTCCCCCGCTCCCGCTCCTGCGCGCGCAGGGCACACGCTCTGCTGCTAGCCAGCACGACACTCCAAGCTGGATACTGTTAACATTTCTGTTACATGAGGCTAAAAAAAGAAATACTTAAAAAATACATTAAAAAATATGTATTACGAATGTTTTTGTTTAGCTTGTTCCCCATCTCCATTAATTTCTCCATGGATACGTGCAATCAGCGTGCATACAGATCTGGCTCACTCTCATGTAATGCTGCCAACAGGCACGCAGCCCCCGTGGGCCGCTGTAGCCAAGCAAGTGACACAGGCTGATCTGGGGCAAACTTCATATATTCACTATCCACGCACCGTGTCAGGCTTATACAGCGCAGAACTGCCATTCCTAATAAGTGGTCATTTTTAGAATGCTTCCATTACGTTAGTAAATAGTGCCATTTTTCAGGYCTTACAATTTTAAGCAAGCTTTCGTTTGTGAGCTTTTGAATTTGTCTAGTAATACCCACAGGAAAAGCCTTGAGTTTGTAACTGATGGATTTTTGCAAGAACCAGATGTGCCCCTGATCCTTTCCTGCACGTGTAAAACCTCCACAGTCTGAGCTGCAAAGCACGCCCCAAACCTCAGGTAAGTCCTAGGTGCCAACCTCGAAGGGTTCCTGCTTGCCCTGGGAGAAGCTCACAGTGTTTTTCCACTGTGACCCTGATCAGCCTGCTGACAATTCCCCTCACATAACACAGAACGAAGCAGAGTCCTAGACAGTGTCCTGCATTCTAATTTTCTTCATTTTCTTTGTTTTTCTTCTTTTTTCTCATTGCCTGATAGGCATGGTTTGAATCACGAGCTATAGGGATGACATAGATGGATCAGGATAAGAAAATGTTCTTTTCCCCTTAACTTTAGGGAAAAGAAATCAAAAAAAAAAAAAAAAAAAAAAAAGGCTAAAAGAGCACAACTTTTCCTTTACAAGGTTTTGCCCTAAATGAAAACTAGTTGCTGATGCTGTCAGTGCTGGGGACGGGGGTGGGTTCTGAAAAGGCCTTTGCCAACCCACCAGGAACCTCTGCTTGCTGCAGGAGCTGTTTCCCAAAGCACTCCTGTGCTTTACTGGTATCAGCATGAAACATAACAGATCACAGACAAGGTAGAAATATCTTGCAGAAATAGTTAAAAAAAAAAAGGCATTTTACACAATTAAAACTTTGAGGTTATTTTTGATTTAATGTTCCATTACTATCCATGAAAAACACTGGAAAAAGGCAGTTTGCCTCTGTGATACCAACTTGCTTAACCAACACAGCTGTGCATGGGTTTGCTGGTAGGCAGCACTGCTCAGTTAGTCAAATTCTGGTTTTGTAATGGGTAAGAAAAATAGAGAAGTAATTAGGCAACCATATATACAGATTATAGGAGTAAAATGTAAAATACTGCCAAATCGAAACAAACTCCTAATTCAGGTAGAGAAGCCTCACGTGGTTTATTTTGGGAGGAAAACAAGGGTTGATCACCCTATTGCTACTTGCTACTTTGCAGCTCTTCTGTGCTCCACATTTTTCCTATGTAAGGGATGTGTCCAGTTGGAAAGGGAGTGCAGACACCCCACCGGATCACGTAGGGAGCATAAGCCTTCTTCTCCAAGCTAAAGAATTCAAGGCTTTGGGGCAGTCAATTAGCACTTGATGAGAAGACACCAGACAGTTTCTCYGCAATTCCTCTGAAGCGCCCACCCCACCAGCGCGAGGAGCTGACTTCAACACACATTTGAAGCAATTAGATGTGCCTCCAGTATTCCTCCAATATAGATCACAATAAATCCCTGTAAATCCTGACATTTAATAGAACAGTACTGTGCAAGTCACAAGGGTATCACTCTTTGTGCTAATTTACCAATGAAGCAGCAATATTTTAGCTCAAAAATTAGCTCAATATAGATCATAAAAGCTCCTATTTTAGCGAGACAGTCTATGAATTACTGTCACACCTGCAGTGAGCAAATCTGACCTGCTTCTGCTCAAAGGTTCACCCGACCTCAGCCAGACACTTTCCAGGACGGAGGATGCATTTATTCAGCTTAGAATGTTTTGCTATCAACACAAAAGGCATGAGGAGCACAAAAACACATTTCACACCCTTGAGCTTCCAACTTCACCCCTGCTGCCTACCAGCAGCACCTACACAACATCTGCTTTATTCACTAAAGCTTAACATGGGACGGAGACATCCTGAAAGGGCACTTGCTTCAGAGAAGTACTAAGGTGAAGGAGATCTAGAACTGAATAAACAAGTTATATCCATTACATCCCTATCAATGAGAAGAAACTACAATGCACATTTTAAAAATTYGCATACAGATTTCTGTTCACTCAAAATATTTTAACCCTGACAAACTGCTCCAATTATTTGGTGATTATTTATATACGAATAGGATTAGTAAGGAGATATCTAATTGTGTGAGAATAACACATGCATCAATACTCACCAAATTATAAAGGGAAATTGTTTTGGCTGAAGAAAAGTCAGCAGATGGCTGGGAAATAATCATAAAATACAAAGTGCCAATGGGAGGAACACACCAGGAAAACGGAGCAAAGACAAAATGGTATGAGTAAGTTTGTTTTAACTGGATGGCCATTAATTTCTATGAACAATCTGTGTAAAGTTCTTTTGGGACTGTTATTAGTTAAGTCTTTTCCATGTTTTAATATCCAACTTTTATTCTTGCCTGGTGGCATTTTAATTTTAAATAGAAAGTAAATGGTAAGTGAGAGAAAATGGAACTGCCATATGCGCTTGCTCTGACAAAGGAAGATGGGTACAATTTCTTTTTCCTTTTCCAACAAACATACTTGTTCTTCCATACTTTTCTGAGATTCAATTACCAATTTCTCTATTTCTTAATGTGGGTGTCCATCCATCTGTCAAACAGTGACGTTTCCCTAATTCTCAGCAATACRCATAGCACTCAAGGCACTAACTCTAATAAGCACGACGGAGCTTTGTGACTAGGGTTTAGTCAACACCTCATCAAAAACAAAGAGGGATGGGGGGGACAGAAGGGAGCCAAAGGCACGAGCTGGGGGCAGGAGCACGCGCGGACACAGGAGCCTGTGACGATGGCACACGCGGGCACGGGCACCTGGCCGGGCACCCGGGCCCTGGCTCTCTCTSACGGCCTCTGGGGGGCTGGTGAACGTGGGCAACGGGGCGCTGCTGAAACCAGCGGTCGGTGCCATGCAGTTTGCTGCTGGTGGTGGTGAAGTTCCCAAAATACTAATCAAATGGAAACTGACACAGCTAAAGCCTTTCTCTCAGTTATCCAAATGTAC